TTGTTAACCAATAATGGTGTCATGTGGGTGGATGGGACAATAGAGTTAGAGATATTTTGAATTAATAGTTCAGATGTGTTGAGGCTTTTCATGTTCGAATCCAATGGTTGAGAAGTTAAAGCGGTTCAATTGATAATAGACGTGTTTCATTTGTATTATGTGGGAAAGGTGTGTTGTGAAAGAGTATCACAAATTGTGAGTTTGAGGGTGATTCAAAAGAAATTGTCAATAAGTGCTTTGTTTGAGGTAGGTGAGGGTGGAAAATTGATAGTAGGTTCGAGTTGAGGAGGTAAGAGGATGTAATGTTGAGATGGGTTTTCATTATGCTAGGGTCAAATGAGGAATGCATGAAACACAATGTGTATATAGGATGAAATAGACAATTCAAGTTTGTAGGCCATAGGTCCAATGTGGTTTTTTACCTTGAAAGGCCCAAAAAATCAAGGAGAAGACTTATGAGATACTCTTGAGGTAAGGGTTTTCTATTTGTAAGGTTGGATTTTGAGGAGAATCCAAGACCTTTTTGCAAAGGTAACATCACTTATTTGTTTATTGTCTTGAGTGTTCATGCTTTGGTGTGTGTGTTTCAAGTTTTCTTTGAGGTTGCAAAAGATTTCATCTGTCTTTCAAGATTTACTCCAATGACGATGTTGTAGTGGTGCGTTTAGAGACATACTAGGTGATATTGGGAGGATATCTTTCATATATGGCTATGAAAGCTGTCATTCATGTGGTAGGATGCCAGGTAGTGCTGAACTAATATTCAACTAAGTGTAAATACTTGAACCAATGTCACGATTTGTCACTTATGAAGCACCTAAGGTAAGCCTCAATGCACCTATTTACCATTTCAATTTGCCTATTTGTTTTGAAGGTATTAAGTAATGGAAAAGTTTAATTGAGTGCCTTGAAATTTGAATAGGTCCTTCCAAAAGTAATTGGTGAACAAGGGGTCGCAATTTGAAGTGATGGATCTGGGCATGTCGTGGAGTTTCCAAATTTGAAAGGAAATGATGTGAGAGTTGCTCAACAGTAAAATAGGATGGAAAAGTCACTAGATGAATATACTTCATTAAATGACCACAAATAACTCATTACAAAGCGACCAAAAAAGTTTGGCAAATGGGTCACAAAATCTATAACAAGTTCATTCCACACTTTCGCAAGACATGAAGTGGATAAATCTGGTTGTATTTTTTCTTTGGTTTGTATTTATTTTTTTGGCATGTTGAGTAGGTTTTGATGAAATTTTTAGTTTTAGTATACAACCCTAGCTAGTAAAATGACACAATAACCCTAACCATTATTGGTTTCAACCCAGAATGACCATAGTAGGTAATGTGTGGAATTCTTGCAATATGGATTGGCGAATATTTAGTTCATCAAGTAAAAACCTTGATACTAAAAATAAAGACCATTAGAAAAATGAAATTGATTTTTTACGATATTGTTGTTCAAAAATTGTGTCACTAATTGTTTCCCTTTGTTGTTTGAGGCAAAAAAAAATGTAGTTGGATGATGAGATCAATAAAGAAAAGGTCACTAGTAACATAGGAAGGTAGGTGACTTGGTTTAGATTTTGATGAAGCATCAACCACCAGATATTGCTTACCCAAATGGTAAAAGACTTCATTGTTGCTTGGGTATTTGAATTGATTATGTTCAAATATGTTTCAACCTCTGATAGTTGGTTATGGTGTAGAAGTGTTGGCCAATCAAATATTGACACCATTTCTTGACCACAGATGTCACAATGAATAGCCCACGCACATAAATTAAATCATTTTGCATTCTGGGGCATAAGCACTTGTTGTATAAAGGAATGGGATAACCTTGTTGGGATAACACAATGCTAATAGTTATTGTTGAAGCATCCATCTCAACTACAAACATATGAGAAAATTTTTGCAAAGTTAGAATATGCAATTAAGTGATAAGGGATTTGAAAGTTATAAAGTAGTTGAAGTTGTCATGGTCTAAATAAATTCAAATGGCGCACGTAATAAATTAGTGAATACAACGATGAGTGAAGTGTAATTACGTACAAAGCACATGTAAAAACCAGTGAGGCCTAGGAAGCCCCAAAGGGCTGAGAGTGAATGTGGTAGCTGGCTTATGGTGGGTGGTGGGTTGGAATGCTAAAATGGAAAAAGGTGATAACATCTACGTGTAAATAATGACAAAGTTGGGGGTAAGTAGCGTAAGATGGTGTTAAGTCAAAAGACGATCTTAGATCTCTTGAGTTTATAATTTTAATGTTAATAATCAAAATATTTTTATAAGAGAAAATGTCTTAAAAAAATGTCTTCGAAAATGACTTTGAAAATGATTGTCAAATGAAGTGTAAGACACGGATCGTCTATAAGACAATGTAAATCAACAAAGCATAAAATTTGTCTCATATACATTAAATGTTTATTATTTATTGAGACCAATGATAAAAGCTTTTTCAATGCTTCATTCCTTAACAAATTAAACTATAAGATTATCTTGGAGCTCATAAAACTATTAAAGGGAACAAAATCATACTTTTCATCAGGACCAAAGACAAAGATTCCTAAAAAACGAAGAAAAGAAGATAAAGTTACTATTGTTGCTACACTACACTGATATTACTTCTGCAAACTACGTTTGGTATGAAAAAAATGATAAGTAGTCTCCTTGATCAAATAAGAGGTACCATTTGCTAAAATGTATTTAATGTTCACATTAAAAAAATGAGTTGAACAGTTACTTGCCACAAGTGGCTTGTTGAAAGGATACTTGTACTTTAGTTTAAAGATAAGGGAACTCAATTTGGTTGAATTAAGAACTAAACGTAGTCTCGGTGGTTGAGAAAAACTAGTGTAAAAATACACATTGTTCCATCTAACTACTCTTTGCGCTTCATCTAACTAGCGTTATTACTTCACTATGAAAAATGTGCGAGTTTTTGATACAAACTACTCAATCCTTCCTTCTAGTGTTTATCTTTTCTCCACATATGAAAAATTGTGACAATCACCCAAGATTTCTATGTTGTGATTGTTTTATGTAAAATCAATTTTAGGAATATAGAAATTAGCTTGAATTAGGCCTAAAGTGCTTAGCCAAGAAATTCCTAGGATGATATCAACACCCTCAATAATTATTATATAAAAAGAAAGATGGAAGGTATGAGTTTGAATTTGAAGGGGAACATCAAAACAAATGACTTGACATGAAATATGTTCTCGATTGTACTACCTATATCAACAAGATACATCTACTTTTCAGTAGCTTATTACTTTAAAATTTCATAATTAAGCATGTTTGACTTTGAATGATTTAGGATGAGTGACCTCTCGAGAAGTTTCCCATAAAGCATGAGAGTGAGGACAAAGTAAGCTAAAAAGTCCCGTGGTATTTTGTAGGGATAATTGACGATCCTAAAGGTAGTCAAACATCTCAAAAATGGCTATCCACAAAGGGTTCTAACCAGTGAAAGGTTTTGACCAATGCAAAGTTAATGAAGAGTCACCATGTGAAGTGTGTGGAGTCATTGAAATGTCAAATCCGAGAGATGTTACAAATTGTAATAAAACAAGTCCTCTATCCTAGAATGGTGTGGTTCGGGGATGAACCAAGTAGAACCTGGTTAGCTTTTAACAACTAGAACACGCCATAATGAGAAGGATCTAGAGATTTGTACAGGTGTGAGTTTGTGTAGTTGAGGGTGGCTTAAAGAAAATAATTTGAGCTATTTATATAAAAAAGATGCATTTACTTTTTAGTAGCTTATTACTTAAGAAATCAACATTTAAACGTGTTTGACATAGAGTGATTTAGGGATGCGTGATTTTTTTAGAAAGTTTCCCATAAAGTGTGTGAGTGAGGATAAAGTATGATAAAATGTCTTGTGTTAGTTTGTGGGGATAGTTGATGATCCTAATGGCGGTTGCATATCTCAAAAAGGGGTAGCTACAAAGAGCTCTAACTGGTGAAAGGATTTGACCAACGCATGTTTGACCATTAGTTATTAAACTATAATATAATAATTACTCAAATTTAACTTTGGTTACTAAATCTTGAATCTTGCACTATAAATTGGGATTTCTATAATAACCTAAGGTTATTTATAGGAATTTAAATCAACATCAAACATCATTAACAACATAATATAGAGTAACAAGAACAATAAATTCAACCAAACTATTGAAAGTAAATAAAATACAAGCAATCAAGGACCTCTCAAAGTCCCCTAAAGAGCAACAAAGATCATAAAAAAAATATATTGGGGGTTAATCCCATTACCAATAGTTACCCTACGCTTATGAGTGAGATAACTCACTTTCCCTTTACCTCGATACACTCTCGATGATCGCAAAGGATCTCTAAGGTATTTAATTCATGTAGCCTTTGAGTTCTCTAAGTGTTTTTGAGTTTTTAGAGAAAAAAGAAGATAAATGAAAATTGACCTGGTAACCCCCTTCGCATAACCACCTAACCTAACAATAGCCCTTGGGTTGACAAAACTAACCCATGATCAAAACACATCCTTTTTCTTTTATTAATTAAAATACACATAACTCAAAATGCATACTATATAATAAAATTTTCAATTAAAATCCTCTGAATTTTAATAAAACACATATAATTAATTTTCAAAAACACAGTTATTATTATCAATTAGTTTAGAAAACTTGGGGTGTTATATTTCTAGGCATGCTTGAGCCTAGCCCACCCAAGCCTGATCTCATTTCTAACATGCATAGTGTAACATCCCAAAATAAAACATTAGTAATAAATATAAGATATAATAAATTATTTGTCACCCTCAAAAAATATTAATTATCTTTTATTTATCTATTTATTAAATGCTCTGCACATTGTAATGTTTTACTCTACAATAAATATAGGCAGTGGGTCAAAGATACAAGATTTTGAAGAAAATTTATTAGACCAAATACGAGACAATGCTTTCCTGAGTTATAAAACCCTCCCTCACCTTAATCACCGCAAGCCAAACAAAAAAACAATTTGTAAAAGAAAGAAAGGAAGAGGAGAAGAAGAAGGAGAAAGAGAAAAAAGGGGAGGGGAAAGGAGCTAGATCGACCCACACCCACACACTTGGTGAGTGTTTGACTTCCATTCTTTCCCCCCTTTTCCATTGATTATGTAGTTTTGTGTTTGGTTTTGAGTTGTGGATTTTGAACAAAAAAAGGGGGATTTAGGGATTTTTCCATAGCATGATTAATGAGTTATTAGAGTTTGGTTTGATGTGTAAAGGCATTAAGGATCAAGTATAAATAATTTTAATGATTAGATCGGAGGTTAGGAGGTCATAGATGACCCTCGAGTGTCAGGTTTGTGAAGAATTATGATGTCGTCTTTTCCCTTTCAAAACTTTTCCCCCCTCTATTTTTGTATGTGGATTTTTGTTTGTGTTAAACATTATTATACAAAATGATTAAGTTCATACGTCATATATCTTAGAGAACATAGTTGGTTCACATATAAGAGTATTCTCTTGATGTCATAGAAAAAAAATCCTTTAAAAGTATAATGCCTTTAGATGTTTCATTTCAATCATACATAAGAAAAAGGAAAAGAAATTTTCCAATTTTGCATTATTAGTTTTATTTATGAAATAAGCATGATGATTTATTTATTTTAGCAAGAAATTTATTTACATAACTGTTTAATTAAGTTATAAGATTGAACTAATTTAGAAGAGTAATGAAAGACCATCAAAATCTAAATATCTTTTTTCCCTCGTAGAAATTAACATCATGGTTCACATTTGGTCATGAATGAAATTAATAATTTGTATACCATGAATCAAATGAATGTTGTTAAAAGAAAACATCTTTATTATCAAAAGTCATTCATAAAATGCAAACTTTTTATCTTTTGATACCAACATCACTTGCTATGACGAGTTAAAGGCGTGTTTGATTCAATGTATTTTAAAGAATGACTTAATTATATCTTAGTCCTCCAAATTTAGGATATATATTTTTTGATCCTTCAAATTTAAAAATTCTTTTTATTCCTTATAATTTTAAAATAAGTATATATATATATATATATATATATATATATATATTTTTTTTTT